GTCAAAGTTCTCATGTCCATACGCATGATGAGTGAAGATGAAATAGGTCTCGAACAAAGTGAAAAAGAAAAAAATGAACCAATCATGGTATAATGGACAATCGTCAAAGTGAACCAACTATGAATTAATCGTTCGGACTAAACTAGAATCACTCTCATTGTAAGGTTACATTGACACGTGTATGGTATGAATTTTAAGAAAGATTCAAAAAATAAATAAATTTCATTTTAATAAAAAAATAAAAATAAAAAGACGAAAAAAATCCAATAGATTTAAACTTCTGTTTTGGTGAATCAAATGTCTAACGATTATATCATATTCAAGAAATATAATTACCATGCTTAACCAAAAATATACAAATAATTATATCGTAATACAGTTGGAAACCAAATAGTATAAGAAAGGAGCACTGTTACAAAGGAGCATATACTACCCGATAAGTTAGATCATTGCAGAAGCATAATGCAGGACGAATAGGGAATATAAGTAGGGAAAAAAAAATACTGATGTGTCCGTCCATGATTGAGTGTTTTTATGTTATTTTTTCAATTTTCAATGAGAATCTGTTAAGTGTTGTCTGAAAAATGAAATTCTGTCACTAACTATGGTTATGTAGTATGATTGTAGAAAATGTGTTTCCACTAACATGAAAACCAACCCTCGATGTAAGTATATCACACGAGAACGTGATATACAAAAATAAATTCAAATCCCTAATAAAATTACCATTCAAGTTTGACAAATCTTCTTAATATTCATCATCAAAATTCCTTGACTATCATTTTCTAACATCTACCCGCCATATCTGTCTGGACGTTTGAATATCATTTTGGCATGTCATGAGCTTCTTTGTAATGTTTGGCTGCCAAATTTGGAAGTCAATTGTCTATTTAGAATCAACAAAGTCTTTCACGTAATTCAAACCTTTAGAACAGAAGAACAAGGGAAGCACGTAATCTTCGCTTTCTAAGGTTCCTAAGGTGATTGGATCCCAATTTTTAAGCCAATTAAATCACCCCAAATCAAATTATAATTAACAAGCTTACATGATAATTAACTGAACATATTGGTAGATCTTGATATATTTCACACACATAAATTTC